CTTATAGTGTATCAACACTTTGATGTGAGCGAATAAACTCTTGTCTGGTTATTCTCGCGAGACAGTATTTTTTTTTAACTAAACGATTTATTATATTGCAAAACAAACTGACTACTGGAATTTTTTCTACATCTTTATCTTATTGATTAACTACAGTGTACTCTATTATTTCCTATTTTTGACATGCACAATAATATGTTCATTGTCCTTTACTAAATAACTGGAATAAACACGTTGAACAACTTTCTTCCTAAATTTTTCATACTATTCATGAAATGATAGTTTTAACTCACTTCACTATTTTTTCTAAAAGTATATCCTGTTAATTGATTAAAACACGTTTTTAACCAATTCACTTTGCATTTTAATTCAAGAATCAGTGAAATCAGAGATACTTTTTCACTAGATCCTATATGAAATTCTTCGTTGTCTAGGTTTTGATCATTGAGGTTTTCTGTTTAAAAAAACGCGTAAGAAACACTTAATTCACTAGTTTGAAAATGCTACAGTTAGATGTACCTAGTGAGAATTTATTACCTCATAATGATAATAATTTTATTTAGATTTTTATCTCAGTATCACTAGTGATACGCTTTTTGTAGCATATATCAATCTTATAAAAGCCAGCAAAATCATTGTAAACTAGTAGGAACTTAAGAATTAATGCATTGAGACTAAAGTCTTTATATTCAGATACAAACCGTGAATAGATCAAATTATAGTTTAAGTAGTCACATGTATACGGCATTTTAAAAAAGAGTAATTGCTACTTATCAAATGGTTATTTTGAATCAGAAAACGTAAGTTGATCAAGATTGAGGTATTTAGTTCCCTAAGAGTGAAATCTGCGGACCAGCTTTGAAAATAAATATCTCTGTGAGTAGTCTATTTGCTTTAGGTGGAACTCCTTATATCACCACATACAGTTTTAATCTGCAAACTCACAATAATTTGTACCAATATTTAAAAACAAATATTAGGTTAAATTACCCACATCTGAAGTATTTACTGTTAGAAATATAGTGTTATATTGACCTTTTAAATGAATTCAAAATATGGTAAAACTGCATAATTTACTTGAAAAGATGGAAACAAGATAGCTGTCTTGAAATCTATAAATTGTTTTATTCAATACGTTTGTTAATCAGCTGTTGTACTATCAAATGTTTTAGCACTATACAGTTCGCATTATGATATCCATTTACACTCTTCCGTAAAACATGGATCTTTTCTTCTATAGATGTTTCGAAAAATAGTCTTCAGAGACTTTTAAAACGTTCAGCAGTCATGTTTAGTTAAAAAGAGTGGATTGTGTTCAACATATTCCGCTCGATTATACTACTATCTCCTGGCGTAGCCAACCTATTTAGTATTATTCGAATGGATTATTTACAAATGAAATATTCCGTAGTTGTATACGTTTTAAAGTGCATCTAAATGAAAACTATCTACTTTGTACGTTGGCAACTGGAAGTTACCTTGATTAATAATAGCTGAAGCTCATTGTAATAACATATGCATCAAGTAAGGAAAAAACCAACCTTTTCCGTGATATTTAAGCAATTTCTCCAACTTTCCTGTCAAATTTTCTAAATCATTTGAAATCCATGTGATAGCGTATGATATCACTGTGTCATCTTTAGCATCGTTATCCGGCTGTGAAGCGTCAGTTTGTACAATCTGGTCTATAGTCACATGGGGCTGAAGATGAAACAAATAGTGTATGGCTTTCACAAATTTTATGCCGTAAACTAACAATATTAGAATAGATCATAATGAAGTAATCCTCCAATTTAATAACTTTTCAGTGACGTGACCTATATTATAAACTAGTGATTTGTTAATAAAATGATACATAATAAAAGTAGGTAATACAAGGAATATACTAGTATTAATTCAATAAATTACATGTCTACATATAATTCAATTGGTTGTAAATAAATAGCTATTCAGTTACAATCATGTTTGATCGTTCAATATCAAGGTTAGAATTCCATGTATTCATTAAGGTAGGTAGCATAATGCATGTACAACATGATATGTGCTTTAAATCTGATATTTCCAGTTAATTATCAACTTTTGAAATTGACTAGAGCTTCTTTACAAATCATGTTATAGTTACCACTTGATGAGTTATAACCAATTTTCATCGGGTACGTTTTAGATCATCCCGATGTCTAATTGGTGTACATGATGGAACTAATTTATTAACAACAGTGTTTACAAAAAGTAATTTCTTGTTTTAAGTAATCGCCATTCAAAGTAACCTAGTAATTGAGTCACTTGGTTTTCAATAACTAAAGTCTCAGACTCAAACTTTGTTTTACCGAATTCGGTAAACATAGTAGGGCAGAATTATCGGGCATTGATCTCTTACCAGGAGGTCCACTTATCGACTTAGAATACACAGATGACACAGTCGTGTTTGGCGAGGACGCCGATAAAATACAGAGCCTTTTGGTAGCACTAAGCAACAATGTCAGAATGTTTTGGATGCGCTTCTCCCCCTCTAAATGCAAGCTGTTGCTCCAGGATTGGCCTGCGTCAACACCTGAACTAAGGATAGGGAGTGAAGTAGTCGAACGCGTTGACAACTTCACTTATCCTGGAAGTTTGATCAGCCATGATGGGCGGGTGTCTGACGGAATTTCTGCACGTATTCAGAAAGCTCGTTTGGTTTTTGCCAACTTCCGTCACCTATGGAGAAGGTGACATATCCGTCTCTCAATAAAAAACGAGTATACTGCGCGGAAGTTCGTTTTGTTTTAATTTACTGCAGCGAGACATGACCATTAAGAGTTGAAAATACTCGTAATCTACTAGTATTTGATCACAGATTCTTTAGAAATATTGCTGGCATCACTGGGTAAGTAATAGTAAGGTTAGACGCAAGGCATTAGGGAATGATGGCAAGTCAGTTGTTGAGGTTGTGAATATTCAGGGACAGAAATGGTTGGGCCGCGTGTTACATATGCCTGAACATCGATCATCACGACGCGCAGTTCTGACTAATGTTGGAGACGGTTGGAAGGAAGTTATGAGTGTACAAACCAACACGTAGCATCAGTCTTTCAAGTCACTAACTCGTGGCGTGAGTCATGTTGGTAGATTCAAAGTACTTGGTTTTGGTCCGCTCGACTATCGTACCTAATAGTTGGAGACTCTCAGTGACATGGCTTTGAATTGATCACAATGGCGTAGGTGTATACAATCCTTGTTTTCCCTTAAACGGTGAGATTAAAATCGCTTCATATTCTTCTTTCTACGTACTAATTCTCTCCTCCTGTACTATATCCTTATACAAAGTCTTTGTCTTCATATATTACTACCATTGACTTAACCACTCCTATGAATCCGCTGTTCATCTTGCTGTGGTAGTGCGGTATGGCAACTTAGGCCGATGCATATATGTTCCTGGTCCTATGTTGTAGCCGACTGACTAACTCTATATTCAAGGTATGGCTTAACATCTAAATACACTAACTTGTGTTTGCTGAATTAATTACATTATCAATAGTGGTTATTTAGAGAGATATATTTAACCTGGAGGTAATTCATCTCATATTGTCCAAGAAACCAGTGAATATTGAGATCAACCTTCCTTAAAAGTCAGACATAATTAATAGACCAGTTTTTATGTGAAAACAAATCATCTATAAGTGAGAAAATATTCATTCAAAAATATCGCTACCGTGCAGATCTTTACAAGTACATCAATTGTTGTATAAAACGATTAAATTATAAAGAGAAATGGATTGGTGAACAATAATGTTAACAACTTATATTTCATACTCGAACCTTTTATAAAGGTAGTAATTAAAACTTTTATGGAGTAAACCTGTTATAATTGAATAATCTCAAAGTGATTTATTAAATACACACTAAGAGCAGTTATAAAATATTTCCATCCATGAAGGAACATCTGCATCAGAGTATTGCATCAAAATGTTATATGTACACCGTATGTAACTGGATAAGACACTATATTAGGTAGAGTTTCATCGAATAGTGATAATTTTAATTTTTTAAACATTTTTGGAGGTTGAACGTTTCGACAAAATAATGATTTATCTCATTTTACTACATTACGTGTTGTATATCATTAAAATTATCTATGGAAAAATTCTATTTGACTTTTAACTTTAGAATTTCTGGATGATTTAAGTCCTTTTGAAAAATAAACCGCTAAAAATACCAAGTATTTATTAAAAGAAGTTTCTGTAGCATATACTTTTGTAAACACTGAAAACAGAAAAAAAATTTTATACAGCATATTCTTATTTACCATTGACGAATATTCACTACAACCTTATATCTGAATATGTGCAAATTATTAAGAATATATATTCAAAAACAGAGACGTATTAGTGAATAAAGTTTAGCATTCTTACATTTCAAATAACATATCCATCAAACTAAAGATAACCACTGCAAGTAAACTTAGTAGATATACTTTCAGTTACAGTAATAAAAAATGACACAAGAATACTATTTCTACAGGAAACCATCTTCGTTTTTCGTCATAGTTACTTGTGTAAAATGGATAGATTTAATCATTACTCCATTTGTATAGGTTATAAAACCACTGATTCTTAACAATCGTAATTGGAGACATGTATTTACAAAGTTTAACATATCTTACTTGTTTTATCTTGTTATTCGTTAAAATTGTTTGAATTCCTTTATCTACATATTCATTTTCTTGTCTATTGATATTTTGCAGACAGTTTTGTGATTGAACATATGCCCATCCAGTTTCCCAAAATAAATTATTCAAACGATTCATTTGTTCGTATTGTTTCTTTAAATGTTTTGATAATAAATCTCTGTTATAACGTAGATGAACAAGTCTTCTACTTAAACGCATACGAATAGTTTGACATTGTTCCCATGCACGTTTGGCTTTGTTCTAAATTAAAAAAAAAGATAATATGAAAACTAATATCTATATTGTATTGATAGAATTGTCTTATAATGTAGGTGAGTGAATAGTTTAATTATATACAAGTTTTAAAAATTCATGAAACAAACTTATGCACACTATGATATAAATAGGAAGCGTGAATCGAAGCTCATATGCTATATCATCTTACTTGATATCTTTGTTTTATAAATCGTTCTTTTTCAATGAAATGATTTTTTTCTAGTTCAGTTTGTTTTAATTTATCAGCATAAAGACGACATTCAAATTGCATCATTGAAATATCTTGATCTTTTACTGTTAACAAATTTTCAATCAACCTAATTTTTTCACGAAGATCTAATTGTTCATCTGTTGATTTTTGATTGATTTTTATGAGCTTTAGAAAAAAAAAGAGGAAGTATCATGTCATTAAAATTAATATAAAAAAACGGAACATACAACACCACATCAATGATTAAAAACATTAAATTTACAAATGTGATATTCAATTAAGGGTATTGAAAATAAACAGTTTACTCGTTGATAGAGACACTATAATGTAAGTGTTAATACTTTCAAATCTTTATAAAATAAAAACAAATTCTCACTACTCATTAAATAATATCTAATTTTAGATTGTAAAATTCTTATTTCATGCATTTACTTCCTTTGACAACATTTTGTGAAGTAAAAACAACGAAATATTATGAAATAGATCCATTTCATTTCATGTCTTCTAAATATACCCTACTCACTTTGTATAAATAAACAAAGTGCTTTACAAATTTATATTTAGCCTATAAGTTGAACTTTTATGAAAATATATAGTAATTATTATTATTATTTTACTCTAATAAACCTGTGGTGTGCTACTTATATTGATATAAGTAGTATATGACGCGAGTCAGGAATGTAATGTCTGGAGGCAGAAGATGACGAAGATCAAGAAAGGAAGAGCGAAAATAAAAAGCAATTAGTATGGAAATGCAAGAACAATGAAGTTCGAGACAATTATTGAACATTTTGCAAATTAAGTATTATAGTATGGTTTTACCAAGTAACTGTAATTTTGTACTAAATATAGTTCGGTTGTCCTCACCTGTGTTCTCCTTTACTGAAACCCAATTAAATTTATGCATATTACACATGAAGTTGAATTTGTAAGTATGTAGGACATTTACAACACACAAAATAATTTAATTTAATATCATCACAGAATGTTTTGTTGTTGGTGTTTTTTAAATGCTTTTATTCCTGAACAAACATTTCTCAGCTAAATTCCTAGGTAGAATAAAATTGATAGACATCATAATTTATCACCATAAGGGTCAGATATATCAAATTAACAGCTAGAAATTTTATATCTATTTTTCATATTCAACTTAATATTTCCCAAAAATTCGAATTTTCAGTTCAAAGCTCAATTATTTTGCATACTCTCAAGCATTAGCTATTCTTCAAAATACAATTGAAATAGTATTCCATAGAATGATAAATTATATAAAATTCATTTGAAGGTTTAGTATGCTAAAAGCAACAGAATGGATCTTGATAAAAGTGGTCATGAGCCATAGTAAACTTTGGATAACCATTTCATTAAGTAATACTTTTAACTTAAGTAAGGTAAATGAACCATAAGCACCACAATAAAACTGTACTCGATATCTCATTTAACAGAAAGGATTAGCTTGTATGAAGTGAATTTTTTTTAAACTGAAAATTTTTACCAAAGTTAAGATATAGGTAAGGTTCAATAACCTCTATTAATAAATTATCGAATTATAACCAATAAATATATTACTGACAAGTGCTGTTTGACAAACTTTCCACATTTTATTGGTGTATGATGAATTCAGGTTTAAAATTTATCTTTGTAAGTTAAATCTTTATACCCTATCATTATTAATTTAGTTTGAGTAGGATTTTATCTGTGATAGAATTAAACTTGGATGTTTGTTTATTTTATGGTGTAGTAAACGAAGAGTAATTCGTTATTACCTTAATCGATCTATCTAGCTTTGTTTCATTCCATTTACATACTGAAAAATCATTCTCGAATTTATTGAAAAGCCAAAGAGTTCTTTATTTGCGGTTCGATTGAAACAACAATAAAATACTAAAGAAGATTACTTTTTATCACATATGGACATCAAATTGAGAATCAATTAAACCAAGGCGTACTGAACAGCTCTTTCACTTTAGCTTGAAATTAATAAGTAACGGACAAACAAGGGTTTAGACCAAGTACCTTTATACCAGTGAACTGAAATCGCGATTACATTCTCAAGTCTAATATACCAATAAACCATTTCAATACTCAACAAATATAATCTATGGGTTACTGTTAAACTCCAAACATTAATTATAATTATTTTGTTATAGATTTGTGTATTCAGTGACAGTTTTACATGTTTGTAACCAGCCAAAATATTTGATGTTATTAAAAACTTTATTGGAAACTGGATGGATTTACACATGTTTTTATAGTTGTGTTTATTTAATAAATCCACATTGTTTAGAAAATATCTGACTAGATTGTCAGCTATGCGTGTATCAATTTATACACTAACCTCATTTTTATCTGAATCCATTGTAGAAATTTTTAATTCTTGATTAAATATTGTTATTTGTTGCTCCTTAATTTGTTCATTCGCTTCAGCTAGCTGTTTTCTTAACTCCTTTTGACCATCTTCCAGAAATGCATCTAGTTTCTTCTGTTGAGTTTGTTCGATCTACAGTATCGGCATTAATGGTACAAATGATTAAATAGAAGATCTTCATATGCGTAAAATATATTTTATCTTTTGATGATGTTGTTTTCTATTATCATAGTTGTTTGATTGTAAGGGTCTTATCATCTTAGTGCAAAAGATTGTCAATGTATGCTTCAAATGTTCTAAAATCTTTTCACATATGCTAAATCCTTTCATTCTGATGACCAGGCTAACAGTCGTCTGTACTCAAAGCGTTGTTCTCTTCATCCTTATTTCTATTCTCAGTAACTGTTTGTATCAGCAGTGTCATTATAATGTACTGATGAAATCAGCTTAACGCCGCAAATTCAATCTCAAAATCCATTGAATATATCGTTTAAGTTTAGACGAAAAGCGTTTCAGCAATCAAGCATAGGAAATTTTTGATCTGAATTTACCGCTAGATTTTCGTTGATTGATATTACTGTTGCATCATGAACTGTAATAATGTCCCACCTGAGGCAAACACACGATGAATACTACCCTTATAATATAATAATTACTCATTAATATTAAAGAACTCGAATTAATATAACGGATTACCGTCAGATTTTTTTAATCATCTAGACTATCATAAGAAACATTAAGTACCGTTCATAAACTAATTTGCACAAATTATTAGCTACACAAGCATTTTTTTAATAGACATGGTAATACAGATAATTATTTTCCAAACAATCATCTCATTATAAAAAAATTACAATGTAATTATCATACCAATTATAAAGACAAATAAGCATGAACAAATTCGAAACTGTTAAGAGAATTTAAAGGTGATGATTAGCTGGAAATAAAGGAAAATGTGTAACATTTCCACACGAATTTAAATATCTCCTATCAGTTTTATAAATAAATTATGAAATCGGACTAATAAGTAACACAATTTTTTAGGAAAGTAATTGTGCTCCCATCAGAGTGTGACACATTTCATGTAAAGATTCTGTGTCGAAAAAGTTGTTTTGAACATATTTTTTTAATCCAAATACAGTTTAGTATACAACCCCAACAACACTGGAAATATAAATCATGATGGACTTTAGAAAACTTGTCCTGATATTATTAAAGAGACTAATTTATTATGAAGTATATATATATATATATCATAAAGTAATCATACGGTTCTAAGTTGTTCTTCATTTTGGCGGCGATTATGTTCAATTTTTTGCAAGAGTTCATCAGCTCTTGAACGTTCCATATCCAATTGATTCATTAGTCCTTTTATATCGTCATAATAACGTTGTTTACTTTGTTCATAACTAAAAACATCATTTATGTTATTGAACTTAGATTGACATAGTAAGAAAAAGGATCATAACTTGCAAAACTTTGTACCTAAAATCATTTCTTTGTCGTATTTTGATATTTTCATGCACAATCTGTGATGATGTTTTGGCAGTAGAATAACTCATAATAATTAAAATAATTTTTATACCATAAATCATCAAATGCATGAATAAATAAAGCCAGTTTGATAGTTAACAAACTTCAGTGATAAAGAAGGCAAGAAAAAACAACCCGTAGATTCGAAGGGTATCTTTAAAAAATTTTCATTCTGGGGCTAAAATATATAGACTTCTAAATACAGCTAAACTGAAAAATTTTTCAGTCTTTTATTGAATTTTTAAATACGACTGACTGTAAAAACCATCACTATTTCTGTCGTATTACTAATAATTCTTTCTCTCACGAAATCAATTTTATTTTAGCCATAACACAACGATTATTTGAAGTTGCTGCAGTATGTCATATAAATATTATTAATTATTCATTTTTCTGAAGACAATTTTCACCACAAACCGATGTCAGAACAAGTATTTTGTTTTTCCTTCCTCAAAAAAACTACAAAAATTTGGATATAAATATACCAATAGCGTTGAAAATTTACTATATTTTAGTGAATAACTTATTGTATTCATCTAAATGCATGGCAGAAATATGAATTTTCAAATTTATACAGAACATTTGTGTCAAAATAGAAACCTAACATCTTAATTTTTGATTAGTAGGATAAATTAGTATGGTCACAGTCATCGGGTTCTCTGACCTAGATTTATTAATAATATATGGATTTAATCACTGTAAAACAACTAACATTTATTTGAAAATAATCACAAGTAAGTATATGTTACTTTGTTGTCAAAAACAGGTAGTTTTCAAGTGCTTAATCAGTAATTATAGGGAAGGAAGTTTCATGAGTATATTTATAATGGCTTTTGTGCCTTGAAGTAACAATCTTCCTTCCAAAAAAGTTGATAGGCTTCTCCAAGCTCAAATGACTGATACACCGAACTGAGATTTTAACCGTTGATGAAAATGGATATATTTTACTGGCAGCAGAAATAGGGTAATTTAAGGGAATATATGAAATCAAAATGTCCGAAATTCCCACGAACCATCTGATGAAAGAATGTTGAAAACTCAGATATTGAACAATGTATTGTATACGCACATAACATATCTAAACAAATAGGAAAGCCCCTACAAATCAAAATTTATAAGATTAAAAAACTCAGGATAACATTTAACTTGTCATCCAATTCTTTCATTCTTCTCTCATATAGTAACCGATTGTTTTCACAATTTTTTGCATTCAATTCTGCTTGCTCTTTACACTGTTTCATAATCACGAATTCACGCGATAAGGTTTGGTAATTCTCTTCATTCTGACTAGTTTGTAATTTGTAAGCGTTGAATTGTGTTTCGATTACATTTAATCTTTGATTAGATTGTTCTAATTCAATCAATAAATTGCGTATCTGTTCTTGTTTTGAACTGAGCTTATTTTTTAATTCGGTTATCTGAATAAACAAGGAAGAAAATAGTGATATGCTGGGTTAAACAGACTACCCGTATAAATAATGTCAAATAATTAATAATAACAATAGTAACCACCACTCAAAGCAATCAACACATAATGAAGGATGTTTAAATGAACCACTCTCTGTCTCGAGGTTTTTAGTTTATGGAATATTTTATTTGCTAAATTGTACGTAACAGCAAGCTCTATATTTTCGTTTTTAACTGCTGATAGTTTGAGTTTCTTCAGAAAAATTAATTGTAAACTAAAAGAAGTGGTCAGGAGGAACACTACATCAAATAATTAAAAATTATTTAGGTACATTAAGTCTACATATGATCTGAACCAATTGTAATAGTCATTTAATTATCTGTGTATTAGTATCGGTAGTAACAAGTTGATAAACGACAAATGTTTCGGAAAATAAGGTTGTTAACTTATTAATACGATATTCTTTTGGAACTTATAATACGATATATGGTTTCCGATAGGTCGACATAGAGTCAAATTATAATTGAAATATTGTTCTCAAATGATATAATAGAAATAAGTACTAGTATAATAAATTTAGTCTCAACAAGTAACCTTATTATTGAGCAACTATCTTTAATCTCACATTAAAATAATCTGCACATCTATGCGACTGTAAATCATACATATGTTTATTAACGAAAACGTAATTCATGTCTATTGAGAAAAGAATAACAATATTATTTTGATACTAAGCCAAGATAGTGATATGGGTCCGGATCAGCAATTCAGTCATAAAAACGTAGGGTCTGGCGCAAACCTGTGTTGGTCCTAGATATAATGCCACACAACCATAAAAAATTAACTGAAAAAATAGCAAACAATCAAAGTAATATGATAGCAATTATAACACGAGGGACTGAAAATTGGAAATCTGGTAAGAAAAGACAGCAAGAAGGTCTATATATAGAGAAGTACTGGAGCTCAGGATCTAGATGACAAAGAGTAGATGTGTCTTTTTCGTTGGGACCTATTACTGGCCATTTTATTAAAAGTATTCCGTCACTGATAGTTATTGTTGTGTAGACCATTACTGGACAGTCTACATCTATGAACATGGGTCAGATCCTTTCTTCCAATGTATTTCCTCACCGATATACGTTATGCATTCCCTAACCCCGTCAACCAATAAACATTCACAAGCCTGATCGACTGATTCATTGACCCAGTTTAGTACTCTGTTCCTAAATTTGTTATTGCCTGCTTGGTCATCCCAGCAATATTTCGAAGGAATCTATAATCAGATGACAAGTAATCCATGAAGAATGTTTGTTTTGAAAAACCACGCTTCACACTTATAGAGTTAAACATGAAGGACCTACTCCACAAATGGTTCGGATTGGTAAAAGCCAACGAAGCGTTTTTAGTCTGTGCTAGGATTTCTCTGGAAAAAAATTCGTTAAATCTGACAAGATTTCCAAGGAAATTGAAGTGGCTGACACTCTCAGATACTTCACTATCTATAATTAGCGTCGTAATTGGCACAGAAAAGTCAATAGGTAACTTTTTACAAGGAGAGGAGGAAAGAAACGCACCAAATATACGTCGGCTGTTCCTCAAGGAGATCATTAGACCATTCATCGGGTCGGTTTTGACTAACAGATTTATGACATTTAAGTGTCCTAAGTAGATAAATGAATTTCCTGATAGTAGATCAACTACTGGAAGTTAGGTGAAGAAATGGTAGCTCCAAGGAGTATATTTATGACGAAATTCAATAAAAACTAACACAGCGGGCGGCAACGGCGACCACTTGATATTAGTAGTTCTGCTACAATTATGGTTAGACATAGACAAGTATACCTACGTTCTAAAAAGTAATTAAGAATGGTCATTTGGTTATTGCATACATATCTGGGTCTGAAATCAGACCGTATTTATCGAGTTTACTTTTCACAAGCCTTAATTAGGGATCTAACGATTATAGAGGCTGGTATTTTAGGTAATATACTAGTCAGTCTGATTCCTTCGTGGTTATCAAGAAAAGATCTTTGTCCTTATAAACTAGAAGGATTTGTAATTGAGGCCAGCTGGATGAGCTCAAATCTACGACATAATAAGCAACAGGTAATTCAAAACCTTTTCGATTCTAAATTGTATGGTAATCACATTTTATAACTAACTAGGCTACATAAAAATTACTTTTAAGTTTCAAAAATTCAGTATTTCTTTGATAATCATCCAAGTTTATTCATTTTTTTTAGAAAAGCTCAAAAAATTAAACTGACTGTTATGACGCAAGACTGAACAAATTAGTACACTTTTTGAATTAACCAATTTCGAGATCATCGAAGCAATAAACAATAAAATGAAAGATATCCAAATAAATTTTAAAAAAGTGTCATGAAAACGTTACTACCAATAGACACAAAAGATTACAAAATATTTGGAGAAATAAAATTGATTCAGGGATTCTCCCTACTGTGATGGACGCTCCTTACATGAATAATTCTCAGTATATGTGACGAAATGTGGCATTAAGGCTGTAAGAGTTGTCAGATCAAAGAGAGGATTTCTGTAGAGCAAAAACAAAGTATAGGGAGAACAGTTGAATGAAAGAAGACAGTTTGCATCACAAGATGCAAATAGATGACCAAAGGCTATGTATATAAATTATAAAACATTTTTCTATATTCTATGGATTTGTCAACGCGGTATAAACAGTATTGAGTCGGTACTATGAGATGGCTTTTGGTTAACACGACATCCCTGTCTTTAAAGTTATGAATACGTAAGGCTGACAACTACAAAGGTAAGGAGTTTTTCAAAAAAAGCTTTCTAGTGATACATTTTAAAACATATTTGACTAAATATATTGAAATAAAAAAACGTTTATTAATGCCAGCATTGATCTGCTACCCTTATAAGTTACCTGTTCCTCATACTTGATATTTTGCTGAATGGCCTTTTCTTTGGCTTTTCTTAACTCTTTGATTTCACTTTCATATTCGTTGCGCTTTTCAACCCACTTAATTTTGTAACTTTCACGTTCAGTTAACTCATTGATTTGTTTATGTAATAGATCGCTTTTACTGTTTTGGTCCTGCTGATGAGGATGATTATTACTTTGATTTTCGTGATTACAAGTCCATTCAGTATTTTGATTATGAAATGAACTCCGTTTTTCCTCTGAATCACACAAATTACATCCAAGTACGCATATTTGTTGCTTTGAATCATTTGAAAATGCCAAACCGTCAATTTTAAGTGGTTGAATAGCGTGTTCAGCATAAAAGTAAAAGCAGTTAGTTGATCAACATAGGTTCATTGATGAAATAACGGCTAATGTCATAATATAATGATAACTGTAGTAATTTGTAAAATATCTATAGTCAATGGATGTGTGTCCGAAGGCTCTACCGTCGTGTGTATAAATTTTTATTCCAGTGATCTGATGTAACTCAAACACGTGTAATGATCGGAAATAGCGTAATTTGAAATGACTAGGGGTTCTGTATATACCAGTATTGATATCACAGAGAACAAAGTGAGCACATCTGTAAGTATAGTATCGGGTAATTAAATCGAATGCATATTCATGTACGAACAATTTGATTGGTTGTTATAAATAATACAGTGTAGCTCAAATATGTGTCAATTTATCAAGCAAAGTAACTTGCTTTTCACATAAAGAGTGTATTTATTATACATTCTGTTAATAGTTTAATAAGTAACTCAAGCAAAGTAAAGCATTTCACCTCTTAAGTATACAACTTTTGAGTAACACGAAGAAATCAGCCACACATATCTCTTCTTGTTTGTTTAAAGTGCTCTAAACATGTCACTCGAGATTTTTATTTAAAATCATATTACAGAATCAATTATAACTTTGTAAAATATAATAACTAAAATACGAAAGATCAAAGTTTATAGAGCAGATATATATCTGATTTATAAACGTTGATCTTTGTTTAATATATATTCAACAAAATATAAGAAAACTTCGCTAAGTACCGCCAATATTGGCGGTATGTCATCAATGAGCTTCCCACTTTTTAGCACTTACCTGATTATAAAAATCATCCAATGCGTTTATACATATAAGCGTTGGTTCTATGCTTTTAGACCATTTACTTGGAAAACAAATGCGTGCTTCAGAGGCATATTTGGGTTTTACTGGTACTCCAGCACCGTGTATCAGACCATCAACTTTGAAATGATTGTTTACGCATTGTTCACCTTCTGAATCAATTTGATTTTCGTAAACGTTGGTATCATGTAAAATAGTGTTATTGGTCGGCAAGTAATTCTGTGAATGTTTTAAATCTGAGGAATCGTTATCTCCATTGGGTGGCTTTGAACTTTCGGATAATGTAGGCATGTTAAGTAATATCCTAGTTTATCGTTAGTCTAAAATTTATAACAAAAAGAAGCAAATTTAACGATCAAATCTAATTGTTTTAGTTAAAAAAATGCTTGGTAATTTTTATAAACCTTAAAGCTAACCACCATAATAATGAACGTTTTGTAGAAAATTTTTGGTGTATTCATAGTTATCTACTAATAATTATAGAATAAGAGCGAAAAACTCATCAATATTTGTAAAATGTATCTTTCAAGGTTGCATAAGCGTAGATAATTAGCACACTAAAACAAGACTTGTGACACTGCTTACTTTTTGGAAGAATGTAGAAATTACTTTGAGCTGTGTTCATTCTTTGTTTTAAATTTGTTCAAAAGTTTGTCCCTGGAAATGTAATTTTTTCATCTAAATTTAAAGAAGTTTGAACAAATTTATTCCGGTTACATTTTTGATCACATTACTGTTGCTCAGTATGAAAATTCTTCTTATCTGTCCGTTATAAGGTGTTTGTAAGTGACATTTGAGGCTAAAAACAGAAATTATTGTTTCATGTACTACATAGTTGGAATCTGACATTCAGTTTTCCTTGTACACAGTTCCACTCTCGATTTACCAATAATATACAGTCCCATGGATTATCTTTTTGCTCATATGAAAAGAACATGATCGGAAGATATTGAAAAACTGAATTTCATTGACAAATTTTATAATAATAACCATTACTGTCACGTCAAGTTGGAATGCGTAGTGGTATAAAAATCTACCAAATAAATATTTCTGTTATTCATGAACAGTTTTGCTAATGTCATTGATTTCACAACTTAGCTAAATGCTTTCTGTGAAGCATCTTCACAAGACCATGGTTATGGACGCCTTGTTACTCATCACTTACAACAATTAGTCAGATTAGATCATATCGTCGTCGGCGCATTATCCGTCTTCAAATCATACCTTCCAATTGATTCATACGAAACTCCTGGTTCGTCTGGCCTTAGAACCCTTGATTGAAAGGTTGGAGATGCCACAGGTGATACAGAAGAAATCGTTGTCATGTCAGTAATATCCGTGGAGTCCTTCAATCAACCCAATTTGCATGCTATAAGTTGGACAGATATATCTGGACTCACCCGTGCATTAGTTTAAAATACGTTGCTATGTGCGCGACTAGGAGCTTATTGTAGATTTGAAAGAAGTCAAACTCATATGTGAATATCGAAAAAGTTGCTATTCTAATCTTAAACGTAGAGTCCCTGTCCATTTTGCAGAGCGCGATGAATTATCCACTAATCTATATTGTCGTTTGTATTTAAATGATCATGTTGTTATTCTTTAGTATTCACGCATATCTATCTTGAAGGGTCTTCACTTTCGACGTTGAAATGTTGAGAAAATGAAATCCTTGGCAGGGTTCACATGTTGACGGGGAGCGATAAGTACAGATGTATATCGTGCAGCAAACAATTGTGAAAAAATTCGTATTATTAGCAGCACCATCAAGATTATTGGAAAAGATTCCGCGTTAGAATATAATATGTTTTAGGTCTTGAAGAGTTGCATAGTATTATAAAAATGTTCTTGGACAATTCACAGAGAATGTAGTGACGATTTCTAGATACCGATAGTTTAATTATATACAACTGAAGTTCCGACAGAATATCATCCTGGTTCCCGTAGTCTATTCTAATGGTAATCAACCTATTCTAGATCATGCATTTTGTAAACTCCAAACACCGTCGAACAAATATAATGATTCGCTTAACAGATTACAAATCTCTAGATTGCTATTTGATCGTGGTTCTTGTGCTACCTGACTATTACTTTGTACACTATTCTGAGGCTAATTTTAACTCCAAATACATTGCTTTGACTGCGCTGACAGAGTTATTTCGTACTTGCACATCACTACTGGTGTACGAATTGTGTAGTAAACGAGAATAGACGTAGGAACAATCGAATGTATTTGAACACAAAATTATACAATGTCTTAGTAAAGTCTGAGGATCATACAATAAATTTGTAGAATTTATGATCTACTATGATATTAGTACTGCTCTAATAATAGACCTAATCCTAAATCTGTGGATTTGTCATGATATGACTGCCTAATCTATAAGATCTTACGTGGAAGTCACACCATCAACTACACCAACTCACTGTATCGTATCAATTACCAATACATGATGTAGAACAAGGTTAGGCTAGAGAAAGAACAATATATTTAATATGAAAAGAAGATATAAGGTAACATTCAGCAGAGACCACGCCTGCATGGCCGAGCCATGCCGTTCGATCAACTCTAATTTATTCAACTCATTATTCGCGCCTTCTCCATCGTTAGGTATTTCTTCGCGTTAAATATTGAATACCTATTTTCCGAGTAATCTCGTATTCAGCTTTGAGGATAGTGTGGCTATGGTCCAATGCCACTACAAATTCTTTATTTGCAAGTGTTCAACAATTGTCTCAGACTTAATTGTTCCTGTATTTCCATACCGATTTTTTTCCCTTCCCGTTATTTCCTCCTCGGTTTTCTCAACATTCTTTTGCCAGACCTTATATTTATTTCGAAGCTTTATTCAACATTATATTTTCGGTACAACATAGAATTCTCAGCATAAATTATTTCAACAAGTTTCCTTTTCTTATATCTTGATCGATTGTGACGATAAATTTTGAATAATGACCAGTTAGATGTTAGGAGTTCGGTAATCCACATTTGATTAATATTCATTCGTTTAAATGCATAATGCCAGCCACAGTGATATCGCCGATTGAACCTTTTTGTATCCCTTATAGTGGAAGGTTGTACACTTTTCATAAACGAGCCTGAATAGATTGTGTGCACAATAGACATAATGATGTGCTAAATCAAACAACAAAACAGATAACGTGATGAAATATGTAGATCGGAGAAACAAGTAACCCATATATTCAAGCAGGCTGCCTTTGTTATATTACTGACTAGCGCTATATACTACATATGTCGACATAACTAGAACACACCAAAGGTGAACAGCTACATTTATTACTAGTAAATGGATCGATTTTTACTACTTCTAATTATCACATATTTTAGTTGCAGTAGTTACACAGCAGCGCTTACATTTTCAGTTGAAACCCATCATACAAAACCAGGATGCTGCCCATTTAGTGAAAGGCGAAGATAAGCAGAATAGGAACTTATGAAATCTAGCCGACTACGATAATTATGTTGCATTATTTAGAAAAACGTTATTCTGTCTGATCTCGGTGTACTCCATCCAATAATCCAAGTTACAGCTAAACCGCTTAAGGACTTTAAGCACTAATAATGTATCATCATGTTTAAGATATAGGTTTTATAAAATTAGCCGACGAAATATATTTTCAACAAACGTTTCCCATAAAATAAACAGAGAACTCAAGCCACCAATACTTTGAAGTTTGTGTTCAAATGACATCAAAATTGAAGGTGGTGACTAAAAACAGGAAAATGCCACTTCACACTTCATAAATTTCAAAACAAATCCTTGGTGGATAAATAGAAATTCTGTCTCCCCTTAATCAGACTATGGTAAAATATAATATACTGAGAACCTTAATTGCATTACTAGCCTAACAGTCATCAGTGTTTAGTCATTCAACTTTCAACTTCTGGATGTCCAACTTTGATAAACACTTAAATATGATATTGATTATTTATCTTCAATTTGACTCCACATTTCACTTAGGCTAACCTCCTCCGTGTGACTGCAATACTAAGAAATCAAATGTCGTTTGCGTTGGACGAATTTATTCCAAGCATTGCTTACCCGGACCGACATTCGGAGTAAAAAGCAGGAAAGGGAAGTGGGGAAGACCAGTGAGCCAACGCATCCAGATAAAGTGTAACTCAATAGTTATGTTCATACAAATACAAACTTCGGACCGTACTGAATAAGTCAAGCAATATATACATACGCTCATAAGAAGTCAAAGTTAGAAAGCAAATAGTTGACATGGTCAAAATGTGATCCAAGAAGAATGAACTAGTTGAACTATTCGGAAGCTAGAGCAACAGGCAGAAGTTTCGCAAGCGGAAAGTTTAGTTCCCATGTGATTTACATTGCCCAAACATTTGTTGTGTCCATACATAACAAAAGTATCATTTTTACAGTTTTGCACGTCAAGTCTAGTTTTACTAAATTCCACCCTTTGTACCACTCGCTTTTTATCCATTTTAAGCATATAGGTTTTTTATTTTGCTGACAAACATTATCATATACATGACAGTTCTGCGGAAAACGTTGTCAGCGAACCTGAAAAAACTAAAGTTTTGAAGCAGATTAACAAATGTGAGTAATGAAGCGAAACAGGGGGTCTTCGACAACAATAGTACTGATGAAACACACACCTACACTAGTACGGATATAGTGAAGCTCGGCACCATCATAACATCAAATGTATTGAGCTCTTTCAGCAAACCTGAGTCACTCCTAAATGCAACTGTGGTTCACAAATATTCTGTAGACGACTGGAGACACGTCAGTAGACTTGAAAATTATCGAGTGTGACCATCAAAAAGCCGAACACTCTAGATCCTGTAGTTACGCCAGCTAGAGGTTTGGCTGTGCAATATACCTCAAAGATTGTCTGGTCAGCAAAGTGCACAGTGATTCGCAATGCGTTACAGCCGCCAAAATAGCGATCTGACATATGGATGTCAGTTCATAATGAATCGTCCAATTAGTTTTCCAGAAAACTTTCATACACTGTCGTTGTGTGTGCAGAAGAATGGATTTTCTAAAAACTGTGGTTTAATAGCTTTCGAACTGCACCCATTCTGCGAAGTTCACTGGATGAAAAACTAGAAATATATGCGCGGCAAACTGTCAGTACCAAGTATTAGGCTGGTATGTTCTTTTGGATAGTGGTTAATCCGAAGTGGTTTTTCTGAAGAATGTCAATTGGTTTCTTAGAATTTTATAAATAGGTTGAGGAGAGCTAAAAATGGTACAGACCGTAGATAAATTTACCCAAACTTGTCAAAAATGCCGGGAAAATTTCGGGCATACGTTGTGAAAAACCCA